TAAAGGTGTATCTTTAAAATCGATTAAGAAAAAATTAATTTCAAAACATATAACTGTTTAAGACAAAAAAAAAGGTAAATAACATGTTTAATATTTTTATTCAAACAACTAAACCTTTCTCAAAATAATTTATATACATTTCAAATCTTTTTTTTTTCAGACTATTTTAAGATTGCTCTTATAACCCATTGCATTTATAGAAACTATTAAAAAAAAAAAAACTATGCTATGAGATGTAACAACTTCATAATTAGTGCTCCACTAGCGCATTTTTTTTAGTCATTGCCCAAATCCCATATAACTTTTTGTTCTTTTCTTTTGTAGGAGTGATTATAAGCTCTAACTGGAGTCAGGAGCTTGAATCTAGTTATAATTACTATCAAACTTGATATTTATATATCTAAGATTTAATTTGAATTGTAAATAATTGTAACCAAAACAAATAACATAAACAAATTAAGCTCTAATACTCAAAATTAAGCTCATGTGATGAAATAATATTGATTATTGCATAGTTTAGTGCTGAATTTTACAAAAGACAGAACCTTCTTGTAAGCTCTCAAATTTACCCCAAATTAGTACATGAGTCCCCCAAACTAAAAATGGTCTAAATAAACTTTCAAAACTTTTAAATGATGTAAATTAGTCCTCAAACCACAACAAACATGCAAAATAGCCTTCATCATTAAAATCTAAACGCATATAATCTCATATTGTCTATTCTTTTCCTTGACTTAATTTCACTTTTCACGTGAATCAAAAAATTCCTTGGTCATTAAAACTTCAACCAAAATGACTCATGTTACTTCTTTTTTTTCTTTTTTTTTTATTTAATATTTTCAAGTTATGTGAACAATTTTGGCGAGATTTTCATCACCCAAAAGGTTTTTGGATCCATGTGAGCATCAACGTGGAAAAGTGGCACCAAATGAAGGAAAAAAACTGATGGCTTGAAATTACACACGTTGAGCCATTAATGATGAGAGTTCATTTACATTTTTCAAGGAGTTTAAGGGTTTATTTATATCATTTTTAATTTAGGGGCTCACATATTAATTTGGAATAAGTTTGGGGGTTTAACAAGGGGTTTTGCCTTTACATAATTAGAGTTTAATTTTTATTTATGAACTCACAATGACAGAATATTATGGCAATTCCTTAAGATGTGTTTGGTTAAAAATTAATTCTTAGAAAATTGATTAATTAAAGTATCGCACCAAAAGTTAAAAGTTTTATAATAAAAATTTGTTAAATGGTTTATTTAGTGGTATAAAAGAAGAAATAATTATTTAGTAATAATAATTAAGTTTTCTCTTAAAAAACAAGGTTAATTTTTATTTTAATTGTGAATGTTACAAATTAACTTTTTATGTTCATTTTAAATAAAGGTCATAAATTATTTTTTAATTTAAAATTTTACATTTTTTAAGAAAAAGTACCATAATTTTTAATCAATAATTACCATTATCCTATGCTCATAGTCTTAAAGCACATAATAGACAAATTCTCCATTAAAATATTGTTGGATTAGTTATCTTGTTATGTTTGGTAAGAAAAAGTTGATAGTTAGATAAAATTGATAAAAAAAAAAATTTATAAGAAACTTTTTTTCCTAAAATATGGTTGAAAAAAGTTTAAAGATTAAAAATTACATAAAAAATAAAATTTAAAAATATTTTTTTTATTTTTTATTTTTTATAATTTTAAAATATATAATATTAAAATACTCTTACAAAATCACATCATCCGAGATGTTTTCGAAACGGAAATCCAAACACACCCTCTAAAGAGCCGTACCTACATTTTTTTAGCCATAACAGCTATGGTTTTGAGGCTTTTGACGACTTTTGCAACAGTGAATCTAGAGTTCAGAGAACCAGGACATTGAAACCTCACTCAAAAAAATTTTTTATTTTGTATTTACGATTTAATATTTTTTAATTATTTTTTATAAATTTTAAAATTAATTTTTTTATTAAATAATTTTAAAAAAATAAATTTTTTATATCAACTTAATACACTTAAAAAAATTAATTCTTGTTATATTAACTTGAAAACTTAAACTTAAAATTTAATATATAGGACAGAACTTACTATATCCATCCTAGTTCCGTGCCCTCAGTCTGCACTCTTCTAACAACTCGAATCTTGACTCGAAAATGAAAGTCCTTTTTCTTCCAATTTTTTTATGGTAGAACAAAACGAAGTTAAGTACGTGAAATAATTTTTTTCTAAGACAGATAGGATAAGTCTTATTTAATAAAATAAAGGTTAGGTATGGGAAGTTCTTAACTTACTCGGAGACTTTGATCTAACCTTAGGTGTATTTGGTATTGTGATTAAAATTTAATATATTGTAGTTAGGAAGTATTAAATAATGGATAATAATAATGGATAGTGGGTAGATGGTAGATAACAAATTTGATTAATATAATTATTTAATTATATAACAGTCAGTGGTTATTATTTAACGTTAAATAATTAATGAAAACATATTTAAAAATAATTAAATGCACTTTTTTCTTTTTTATTATTAAAATTATTAATTTTATAAAAATAATAATAA